ATGGGTTATGATAAAAGGATAAAAAATGATTATTTAAAAAAAATAATTTATGCAACAAATAGTTTAAAAAAATTAAAATACAAACGAGGTTTTGTGACATAAAAGTAGAAACAAAGAGATTGGCTTTATGTAAGCCACACACATGCAATTTAAAATATAAGGAAAAAGGAAAATCAAAACTCCTGATATTAAAAATATTAAAATATTTAATAACAGTTATATGATAAATTTAATAAAATTAAAATTTACATTATGTCTCACGTGTTTAATAACTGTGATTGAATATTTTAACATTTTTAATAGTAAAACGTATCAATTTTTTCTTTTCTTAAAGAAATAATGGAGAAAAAAAAAGGTGGAAAAAACCAAACATAATTTCCATTAAAAAAAAAAAACATGATTAGTCTTGGCCTTTTCGGATGACAAGGCCTAGTTATTGGGTCTGTAGCATTGGGGGTGTTAGGGCAAAGATGATTGCAGTTTGCAGAAGCAGGACAATAGGCTGGGCCAGTTTAAGGTTGTTATTTCTCATTTGGGCTGTGATAACTCGTTGATAAACCAATAAACTATTGTTAAAGCAGGCCGAAGAAAACAGGCTTTTTTTTTAAGTTAAAAAAAAAACACACACACACACACCAATCATGAAATTCAAATTCATTCTATCCGTGAGAGACGGAGAATCCAAAAAATATCATGAAATTCATTCTTTCTTGTTTTTTTTTGTATATAACATTGATCAACTTCTTGAAATCTTTTTGCTGAATTTCAGATGTTTTAACTTTTCTGCCATGGTAGTAGATAGCAAGGACCATGTTTTTGTCCGATGCTAAAAAATTCTAAGTTCGTGAAAACGATGTTATAAATGGGGGCTCACAAAGGTTTTATTGAGCAATTATTGATTGTAGTAGTTTCAGCTATAGTCAATACATGATCAATGCCTCGTGGGTCTGTTGGGGTGTTCCGGGTGAGGGGTGTTGATCTGAACAGGGTGATATGATGTATTGGCAAAAGAGGCCAGAATCCTCGTTACGGACATAGTGTCGACACTTTATTTGGGTGTCAACACCTTATATTAAGTTTTGTTATTTGAAGGTTTGGAGTACCCCTTGTATTCCGTTTAATAATAAATAACATTTTCGCTGTTCAAAAAAAAAAAATGGTGGGGAATCTTAATGGTTCTCTCATGTTCAGAACTTTGTGAGACACAAGCTATGGTCTTTTTTTTTTTTTTTTTTCCTTTGTGGTCACTTGATTAATGTGGATTTTAAGAAATTCTGTTCATTATAATTCAGTTACATGAGATAAAAATGTCTTACGAAAATTATTGTTGGAGTGAAAATATCTCACATTAAAAAATTGAAGGGAAATATGTGTTGCTTAAATACAAAATGAGAAATTTCATCTATTATGAAGTAATTTAAGTTGAATTTTCGTATTGAATTGAGACACCCACACCTTGAATTTTTACAATCTTGGATTTACGGTAAGCTAGAGGGGTTGTTTGTCTTTGATTAGTGGTTTATGATTTTTGCCTTTAGTTTTAAAGCTTTTAGGGTTTGTTTGGTATTATGATAAATTTATTAGAAAAATTTTGAGGGGAAAGTGATTGAAAAAGTATTATTTAGAAAGTTAAAAAAATAATATTTTTTATGTTAAAATAACTATCATTTTTTGATTTTTTTCTTAAATTAGGAATTTGGAGATAATTCATGTATTTATCAATATTATCCTTATGAAAAAATTAAAAGATAAAATAAATTTTTTTTTGATAAGATAATTAATCAAAATAAATAAATAATGATAAGATTAAAGTAGGAAAAAGATATTTATTTACTTTGAAATTTTAAAAACTATAATTAATTTAAGACAAACTTGAAGTCAAATAACAACATTTATTTTAAAATAGGGAGAGTATATGGAAAGTATATAAATTTTATAATGAATTTCTGTTAAAATTTTGTTAGTATTATTAACTTTTTTGCATTCCTATGAAAAGTTAGGCTGGCTAACTATCTAAATAATTCAGTGGTAATCTCTTTTCATTAAAAATAAAAGGTCTTAAATTCGAGTCTTATAACGAGTGAGGTGAGATAAGAGATAGAAAAGAGTTACTTCTCGTTATATAAACAATATAAAAAAAAAAAATTTGGGTGGAGATAGTCAAGTGTCAAATTAGTACACATAAAAAAATTAATTTTTTTAGACACTAACCTAAAAGCTTAAATTTTTAATTTGATTTATAAGATAATATTTATTTGTAAATAAATCCAACACTTGAGATTTTAAATACCATATATAAAATTGTATGAAAAATTATCTTTAAATAATTTTCCAAAAAGGATTTGACACTTGCTTCCAACGTGGTTACACGTATAAGTTAGGAATCTACACCATTCCTGTTAGGAAAAAAAATCTATGGTGCATACCAAAAATGAATCTTTGCCAATCTCAGCATAAAAAAAAAATATGAAACCCCTTTAATGTGATCATACGGGCTGTCTCTGTGGTCCCTTTCTCAAAGAGTATTTTATATACCAAGAGTGCAAATTATACACACACAGCTCTTTGTCATAGCCAAGACCCTCCTCCCTTGAGGCTTGAACATCTATTCTTCACTTGCCTGCCCTGCATACGCATGGCAGATTCAACACCATTTCTAACTCGCTCCGACCACTCTCTGGAATCCATACTGCCTCCCTCCCTCGACGAAACTATTGAAAGGTGTATCGGAAACTTCAATTGGGCCCAGTTATTGCAAGCAGTCCTTGTGTCATTTTCCTGGTTCTTTGATGGTCAGCAAACCTTCATCAGTGTCTTCACGGATGCTGAACCATCGTGGCACTGCACTAACGCCACCGCTGGATCACCTTGTAACTCAATTTCTGATATTTGCAGACTTCCCAAGGACACATGGTCTTGGGACTTTCCGGCCCACACGTCAATCATATCGGAATGGGGCCTTGAATGTGCCAGTTCCCTCGTCAAAGGCTTGCCGGCGTCCTCCTTCTTTGCTGGTTGCCTTATCAGCGGACTGCTGCTTGCTACGCTAGCCGATTCCTCACTTGGGAGGAAAAACATGCTCTTCTTCTCATGTTTGATGATGTCTCTGGGTGCTCTGTTAACCGTCCTCTCCCCCAACGTATGGGTTTATTCTGTATTAAGATTTGTCAATGGATTCGGCCGGGGAACGATTGGGACAAGTGCGATCGTTTTATCGACAGAGCTGGTCGGCAAACGTTGGCGCGGCCAGGTGGGTGTCCTCGGTTTTTTCTGTTTCACGTTTGGATTCTTGTCTTTACCGGCTATAGCTTACATAAACGAGGGATCATCATGGAGGACTCTGTATTTATGGACCTCTGTTCCGGGGATTTTCTACTGCATACTAGTTCTGTTCTTCGTGCACGAGTCTCCACGGTGGCTTTTTATTCGCGGACGGAAGGAGGAGGCGGTGTCGACGCTCAAAAGCATGTCGACGGCCGGTGACGGCGTGGCCACAATGAGCTTTTCCAATGTGAAATTGGAACAACAGGGGACAATGAATGCAGATCTGTTTTCCGCCATCAAGGACCTTGTGGAGAAACCATGGGCTTTGCGGAGGCTAACGGTGGTCATGCTCACCGGACTTGGGATGGGAACTGTGTATTACGGCATGCCACTGGGGCTCGGAAATCTGAATTTCAATCTGTACTTGAGCGTCACACTCAATGCCTTATCAGAACTACCTGCGTCTCTGGTCACATTTTTCCTCATAAAAAAACTTGACAGAAAAAGCTCCATCATCGGATTTACAATCTTAAGCGGAATCTGTAGTATCCTGTGCGTTGTTACGGAGAAAGTTTCCGGTAATCTGCAGATGGCGTTGGAATTGATTTCTTTCTTCAGCGCATGCACTGCTTTCGACGTGGGCTTGATATATACATTAGAGCTGTTTCCAACGTGCGTGAGGAACTCAGCCTTGTCAATGGTGAGGCAGGCGCTGGTGTTGGGCGGGGTTTTCAGTCCGGTACTGGTGGCTGCCGGGAGGAAAAATGGGTTATGGTCGTTCGGGGTTTTTGGTGTGGCGATTGGACTGTGTGGGCTGCCGGTGCTGAGATTGCCGGAGACAAAAGGTAGGACACTTTCCGATACAATGGATGAAGAAGAGAACAAAGACAAGATTACTGCAGCAATCTTGGCTTGATAAATTAGAGTCTCTGCTATTTTTTAGTTGAGGAATCCTGATTCATAATTTTGTGAAAAAAGTTGTGTTTGGAATTATGCATGAATTGGCCTGATGTTATAAATGTGTTTGAATCATCGCAAGTGTTTTAGTAGTTAAACATTTGAGTTTATATATTAAAAATTTTAAATTTAAATATTAAAATAAATAGAAAGGTTTGAGAAGTGAAGTATTATTTTTCTTTATATTGTCTATTATTTAATGTATTAAAAAAATAAATGTATTTGGCTCTATGTAAATGATGGTAATCGAGGAATGTTGCTTGGCAATTAGTCTTAGCATGGAGAAGGCCGGACACTATTTGAGAAAATGTAATATAAATTTTGTTTTGTTTTGTTTTTATTTATTTATTTATTTAAAGATGTAAAATTTTTGGTAGAATTCTAAATTAGGTAGTAAAACTTTATTATTTTTCTAAATAAAAATACAAAAATGTTATAATTATAATGCAATAATTAAGTTTACAATATGATATGTTATTATATAATTAATTTTTTTATTTAAAATTTTACTTATAATATTATATGTAACTACTCATTTAATATTATATCATGATTATAAATTTACAATTATATGTGATATTATAATTATAATATTACTAATAAAAATATGAAAATTTTATTTTCTTATTTAAGAATTTAATAAATGGTGATGATAACATAACAAACAACAATTTTAGTTAGAATATGATAAAATTGGTATCTTTAACTAGGAAGACAAAAGGCAAAAGTTTGTATCTTTAAATAAATTTAAAAAAAAAAGAGAGTAAAAGTTTATCTTTTTATTAAAAATTTGTTTATATCCTTAAATGAAAAACTTGATAAAATTTGCATTAGGGGTGCAACAAAAAATCTACAATCGCAAAAATTTTTAAAACTGATAAAATCGTAACGGACGGATAAGGTTTGATTGGATTTTAAGTTTATTTGACTAAAAATTGAATCGAATTAATTTTAAATAGTTTGGATTTTCGTTCTTAAGTTTAAAAATAAAAAAACCGATGACTATGCTAAATGTAACAAAAAAAATCTAGATTGAAAATCTTTTATATAAAATTTTTAATAGTTTCTAAATTTTTTAAGATTTTCTAGCTATTTTTCACCAAATTATTTATTTATATGGATAATTTTTTTATTTTTTAGTGATTGAAATTAATTCAAATAGTTACCCTGAAAAGTATAATTGAAACCAATAAAACATGTTTTTTATAATTTAGTCAATATATAATTATTAAAATTTAAAACTCAAAACTTTAATTAATCGGTACTTCAATCAATTACAATCAAAACCAAACCATGCTCCCCCCTACTTTGTATCTTCGTTTGTGCCTTTCTCCGCGTTGTTTTCTCAAAGTAGACCGTAGATGGGTCTGGGTTGTGAGCAGTTTTCGTTTTTGTATTTTTGAAAGAATACTCTTTACCTCTATTTTTTTTAAAATTTTGATTGTATAATAAAAATAACCCTTATTCTACCATATCCATATACTATACGACTTAAATTTAAAACCTCTTTATCTCTAAATTAGTAAGGTTTTTTTTAAGATATAGTTATAATCACTAATAGAAACGTTAAGATCATTAAATTTATATAAACTTTAATTAATATTTGTATTTTTTAAAATAGATAGTTATAATATTTAAAATTATTAATTTATAAATTTATGAGGTAATATAAATTGTTTTATGAATTATTAATTATTTTTAATAA